CTATCAGTCCTCGTACCTATGATCATATACAACTAATTTGTTTTTACTTAGTAACACTACCCTTTACAATGTCGTGCACTTAAACATTATTCAATACAAGCTCCTCCGGTGTATCGTACAAAAATTATTGTTTTGACCAAGATCTAATATATATTTAATTCATCTTCAACCTCTTAATTTACGAGTATTCATATTGGGCAAAACGTGAATCTTACAAAAAAGTTATAAACGCTGTCATTTCGTCTATACAATACCATTTAAAGACCCTTATGGCGAGTATTTAACAACGAAGCCTACTAGAATACCTTGAAAACGATTGTGTACACTAATGGCTGTTGTCCTTATGCATATAGCATCAAGAAAATAAAACTTAGCATATAATTCGACTATGCACAGCTATAGATACATATTATTTGTAATAGTATTCCTAACTTGAACAGAGATTCACAATAAATCGGCAACTGTAGCTTGAAATATGAAATAATTTAACTTGTACTGTGCTCATTCTTTTGATTATCCTGAAAGAGTACACATGCAATATGTGCATTAGGTGGATGGGTAGCTGAACGTCCAAAAATACTACATTGTTTAAGTCCCAACCAAGAACTTTTGTGAACTTTTTTATCGTTAAAAACTCGGTCTATAATTGTTTATATACTGTATTGAGGATTTATTCTACCAAATACGTTTAATCTTTAAAAAGATAACTAACACTTTTGTTTATTTGGACTTTAGATACATGAAAAACTTAAAAGTTAAACTGTAATTCAATGAATAAAAATCACTTAATAATACTTTACGCTTATGATGAGAGGCCAAATACGTCAAAATCGACTAAAAATGCATAATTTTATACCGAAATTCCTATAATAATGTCAGTTTACAAGAAAGTATATTTGTGATGTATTTTCATACCCTCATGAAAACAAACTACTTTACCTGTTAATCAATAAGGCCACTTCGGTCAATGCCATTTTTGAATTTGTTTTGTAAAGTGAAGTGCCAATAAAACTACATGTATTACCATTCCTTTCAATAAGATGGAAAAATAATTTATGTTAAAAAATTACAAAAAATATTTATATGATATCTACAGTTAGTGAGAAAAAAGATTTGTTTTTCGTTGCTATTCAACTGTGTAAAGATTTCGACGTTTCGATTTACAAATAACATTGCTTTATAATTCACATCAAAATATCTGTTCTTCTTCTTACGTGGCATCCTATGTACATAAAGCAAGATATAAGAATGTGACTAATTTTTCATGCTGACAAATTAGTGCCTTTCCTTAAGCTCTAATGAAGTTACAAGCTATAGATGATTCAGTAGTGATAGTTTAGCAATTTTCCACTTTCAGTAGCACGTACTGTGGAAATCCAAACTATCACATATTTTTGGTGGATTTGCTCTACTTGACCCAAGGAAATACGTTAAAAAATACACGAGATATAAAATCTCCAATTTTGATTGAATATTTTCCTTTTTTTTCTTCGCACCGAAAGTACGGAAACTTTATTTGATAGAAAAACATATTGAACTTATGGATTTTTTGCAACGTTAGTACACTGATAGATCTTTACAACCTACAATGAGGTATCAAATCTGGTCTACATATAAGCCACAATTGCAAAGTTATTCAACAAAAACCACTATATTTTGATCAAATTTTTGCGGACGCCTACGCAAAAAGTCACGTGGTATATTGGTCTGATATTTTTACACCAGCTTTACCTAAGAGAAGAGGTGGAAAGTTTTTTGTCATTCGGATTAAATGTGGCTGATTTAGAGCAGCAAAACTATAGGGTGAAAGAACGTGAAGGTACACAAGTATTAGTTAGGCCAAGCATACTAGATTAGCAGTTTCTAGCTCAAGTTTTCAAAGGAATCATACCAGTGGACAGTTACTATTGATTATTCATTGCCAACTTTCAAGCACAAGTTTGATAAAGTTTGTGAAATTCACCTAATTAGAGCCGTTTAGCATCACGTGATTTTTAGCGTAAATAATGATGTTTGATACGGCTGTAAAGAGAGCATGCGGGTAATGACAAGAAACTGTTAATCTAATTTTCACGGCGTTAGTATAAAGAAAGTTATTAACACTGTTTCAGAGCATATTTTGAAGAATTTGGTTAGTTCTGTAAGGTATAGGTCTGTTCAGAATAATAGGGTTCCGATCCTATATCTAATGTTGGTTACTATCGAATGTCATTTTCTTTCTTGCTGTGGTTTGTTGGTGTGTATTAAAAAAAACATGATATCTAATCAAAAACACCTTAGGTGTGAAAAAAGGTGCGGCCAAAAAAGAATTGAGCGTACGAGTTCAAGGAATAAAATCAAAATTGGTGGCCTAACTGATAGCTACACTTATAACATTGATAAGAATTTTACAGCAAATATTCATTCATTAGTTAGTCTAGGCCGTGTACTTTGTTTTACCCTACCACTCATGCTCAAGTTGTAACAAGAAACGACGGCCTGGTTAACTAATGAATGA